AATGCCAATTCAAATGAATGTGTATCTCATTTCAAAATAAATTACTGTCATCATTACTATGACTACTAGTATGGCTGCCATTATCACCGCTACCGTTACTGTCAATCATCTCTAGTGAACTCAATTCTGTGGACGCGTTCATAGACTGTATGTCGGGTTCGGCTAATGTTTTCGATTCGTTGTATTCCTCCGAGTCGTCGTCCCATTCGATATTAACGGGTCCGACGTTGTCGTTGTACTCCTCATTGTAGGCTTTGTGTGAGCCGTCGCACAGGGGGAACGTCTCTGATCGCCAGCACCGACACAACGATAACTTTTTACCTACAATTTAGACCATATTCGAGTTTAGTTCACGTATATAACGATTAAAATTCTAATATAATGTACAGCAGTATGAAATCAAATTAAAAACCTGCAAATTATAATCAATAATCTATTGAACATAAAATTGACATTACTTTAAATTAAATATCAAATGATAAAGCATTTCTAGGAGTTCATTAGTATCTGGGAAACTTAATGTTTAAATTATGAACTCATTATTAGTACACTAATTAAAATTGAGACCAAACTGCAGACAAAATATTGATAAATGTATGATAAAATAATAATTATAATTGGTTATCGACTAGAATTTGGGAAAATAACTAAATAAATAGTTATTATCTCAAAGGGTTGTGTTATTTTCCACAGACGTTGAAACCAAACTAATCATTCATAACTACATTTCATAATCAACATTAAGTTCTCCACGCAATTGAGATAACTTTGAATAAATTAAATTAAAAACCAATTTAAAGCAAATTATAGATACTGTAAATGCAATAAAGAAACTGTATATTTAAAGTATTTGTTTTGTAAGCATAAACCCAAACTAAGTTAAAAACCAATGTCTATAATGTAAAAATCAATAAACAAACATTAAGTCATTGCTAACAAATAATACAAACTTAAAAACAAATAAAAAATATCAAACAAAGAATAATCTATATATATATTTCGTACTCATTATTGATTTTGTTTAAAACAATTTCACTTTGAATCCAAATATAAACACAATTGAAATAATGAGTGAATCAATAGAATTCA